CTCCCGCCCCCCAGCTCAGCTCATGCCCCTCACGTGCCACCTCCAGCATCCCCTGCTATACCAGCCCTGGCCCCCCCCCCAGCTCAGCTCACGGCCCTCAGTCCCACCCTGCAGCCCCCCTGCTGCTATTCCAATCTTACATCCCCCTGCAACTCTGCCTCAATGCCCAACCCACGGTGTCCCGCCTCCCCTGTCCAGAACTTGGGCCCACCCCCAACTTTGCTGGTGCCCCTCAATCCTGACCCGCAGCCCCCCTGTTATCCCAGCCCTAGACCCCTTCTCCCCCTGTGACTGCCCATGCACATCAGCCCTGAGCACGTCCGCTGCAGTGTAACGGGGACAGAGGGGGCCAACGTGAAATGAACCGTGCACAAGGGTGCACGAAGCCGCCCGAGGGGCGAGGGGGAGAGCAACACCCAGCCCTGAATCTCCATCTGCAGAGACTGCATGGCCCATAGCGAGCCCAGCTGGGCCCCATTCCACCTCCAGGCTCTGCATCCCTTCCTCCCCCCTTCGCTCTCATTCCAGGCAGGCAGGAGGCTGGTTACAATAAGGCAGGAATTCAATACAGCTCCAGCGCCACACAGGAAGCCCTGGCTTGGCTCAGCTGCTGCTTAACGCTTGGCCAGAGAGTCTGTGGGCTCCCACGTCCCGCCGTCACCCCGCATCCCGGCAGACGGCGGGGAGCAGAGGCTAACGAACCACAGTGGGGCTGGCTTCTCCTGCTATCGTGGCGGGGATAGGAGAGAGCCAGGCGCTGCAAGCCAGGGCCGAGGGGGGCTGGCAGCCACAGCCCGGCAGGTCAGCGCTCGGCCCGGCAGGGGCCAGCAGGAATCTGCGCTGAGCGGCCAGGGCTCAGCACTGGCCTTTGTGAGCCCAAAGCCTGGAAGACGCAGCAGCCTAGGGCCAAAGGGCTCTGTCCCTGCCCCTAGGAACTAAGCTCTTTGGGGCAGGGATAGTTTGTACAGCACCTTGCACCAGGGCATCCTAGTCCGGGACTGGGGCTCCTAGATTCCACCACAATACAAATAATAACCAGCAATAGTCAGCACTCTGCTCTGCTGCCCAGCCTCCTCGCCAAGTGACTGTCCCGCTTGCGCCAGAGGCCAGGATGGGGAAGCGATGCAGCGGACAGACACCTCTCTGTCCCCAGGAGAGCCGTGCATCAGCGACAGCACCGCTGCCACCAATCCGCTGGCCTCCTCCCCAGAGTCAGCTCAGAGCTCCCCGGGGCTTGAAGATCACAGCAACCCTCTTAGCAAGACGGGGCGAGGTGAACTCTCCTTGGGCTCCAGGGTCAGGCTGGTCAGGCAGGGGTTAATTCCAGGCTCTAGAGCGGGGTGCACGAGGGGGTGGTAGACAACACAGGATCCAGCATGCACTGCAACAAGGCCGGCCAGAGCAAGCCGCATTGCATGCTGGGCGCTGTAGTCTCCCCAGACCACAGGTCCAGCCCTAACCCAGCTTTAAAGGCACAAATCAACCCCCCCTCGCTGACCGGGGAGGAAACATGCAGAAGAAATTAACGCACAAAAAAGCGAGCTTGGCAGACGGACCCCAGCAGAGGAAGGCCCCTCGCTGTGCGCTGAGCAGGGCGCTGCCAGCCCTAGCCTTGCCAGCGAGGCTCTCGGTGGTACCCATCTGCCTGGCCTTCGCCTTAAGGGGTGCCCACAGCCCTCTTCCCTTTGAGTCCCCAGCCTCGGAAAGTTCTCCTAAGAGACAAAGATGCAGCAAGTTTGCCTCCTGCTTTGCAAGGGCAGAATGCAGGGAGAGCGGCTGTGGCCGAGACCCCTGCAAGAAAGACTGTTCCTCCCCTTCCCACCCCGTTCCCAAGCTACACGCTCAGCAGAACGCGGTCTTTGGCCTCCATCTGAGCCGGCAGACCCAGGCCCTGCCAGACTCCCAGCTTTGTTCCTTAATCCAAAGGGCTGGCTGGCCTCCAAGCCCGGCAGACATAACACACACAGCCCAGACACGGGGCACCCCCTGGGACCGTGAGCAAAGAGTTCCACCAGGCAGAGCAACCCGCACGCTGCCAGGAGCCAGCCCCACAAGGCACAGTGAAGGTGCACGCCCACTGCAGGCAGGGGATGGAGCAGACTCCCCTCCGGCCCCCTGGATTTAGCCCCAGTGCCAGCCTGGGGGCAGGGAGTTACTGGAGGAGTCTCACCCATCGTGCCCTGCCTGTTGCCCAATACCCTGCTGCATCTCTCTCCCAGCGCCTGCAATGGGCACGGAGCCCCACCGCCCGACAGATCAGGGGCAGGCAGCTTTGTCTAGGGGACAGGGTACCGGACTGGGACTCGGAAAACATGGGTCTGAACCCAGCTCTGCCACTAGCCTGCTGGGGGATCTTGGTCAAGTCACGTCCCTTCTCCCCCTATGTCCGTCTGGTCTATTCTGCCTGTAAGAGATTTGGGAACAAGGAGTGAGTGTGAGTGTGCAAGTGTCCATGTGTGTGAGTGTGTCCGTATCGGTGTGTGAGTGTGTCCGTGTCTGAGTGTACACAGGTGTGTGTCCGTATCCAGGTATGTGTTTGTCCATGTGTCCGTGTCAGTATGTAAGTGTGTCCGTGTCCATGTGTGTGTACAGGTGTGTCCATGTCCATGTATGTGTGTGTGTGTGTGTGTGTGTCCGTGTCGGTGTTGTGAGTGTGTCCGTGTCAGTATGTAAGTGTGTCCGTGTCCATATGTGTGTACAGGTGTGTCCGTATCCATGTGTGTGTGTGTGTGTGTGTGTCCGTGTCGGTGTTGTGCCCATGTCCATGTCAGTATGTAAGTGTGTCCGTGTCCATGTGTGTGTTCGTGTGTGTACACGTGTGCCCATGTCCATGTCAGTATGTAAGTGTGTCCGTGTCCATGTGTGTGTCCATGTGTGTACACGTGTGCCCATGTCCATGTATGTGTGAGTGCCTATGTACAGACACACACGCCCAGTGCAATGGGGCCCTGATCTTCATGGGTGCTACGGGAAGGTAAATCAGAGGTCAGGCAGGCAGATTAGCATGCAAAATGAAGCCACTTCCGAGTGGATCTGAACCTTGAGCCACATTCTATCCCACACAAACCTCGCAGAGAAGGGGGCCCGCCCCAGCCCCGTCAAGCCTAAGGCCTGGTCTCCACTCCCCAGTTAGGTCGACGCGAAGCAACTTACCAGTGTCCACACTTCATCCGTGCCCCCGCCCTCCCCCTCCCCGGCTCTTGGCTCCCCACCGGGAGCACGGCAGTCAACTGGACTCCAGGCCTTGATCTCCCCACCGGCGGCAAGAAGCCCCGGGCAGCTTTCTCCCGCTCCCAGCTGGTGAGAAGTCCAGGGGGCAGCTGGGCTCCTGGCAGGGAGCTGCGTGGGCTCCCCACACTGCCCCTCTTCAGTGGGGGGAACGCTGTGGTGAGGACGCGCACCACCGACAGTGTGGCCATCGGCCACCGCAGTAATTGCACAGGTCAACGTAAGATTGTAGCGTAGCCCTTTCCCCCAGCCCACTGCCTGAGGGCAGGACTGGCTCCTACTCGATATCCCGAGCTCAGAACGACACTAGGACGCGAGCGGCGGCCGCCGGGGCTGGGGGGCATTCTCATTTTCAATAGATACCCACCACCCCGGCTGGCGAGAGGGGGGCAGGGCAGGTGTGGTGCTGTTCAGGGCAGGCCTGGAGGCTCAGGCAGACCACGCAAACCACCCCGTCGGTGGGTGCCCCCATCATGGCTCCTAGCAGCCCCCACTTCCCGCCTTTCCATGCACAGCGGCAGGAGTTTTCTCCTGCCGGCCCACTGTGTGGAGCAATGTCCCAGTGGAGACACTGTCTCCGAGGGGCGATCCCAACAGGGGCCCTGCAGGGAAGGCGTCCCAGCCAGGAGCTGCAGGCACCGGGCATCCCCACTGCATCGCACAGGGTGTTCGCCGCCCGCCAGGGAGACTGAGCTGGGAAAACCCAGCTCCTTGCCCACCCAGGGTGAACCTGTAAGTACTCACTCCGGGGGCGGGTGGATCAGGCTGGTATTCAGTGCCCGTTGCAGCCGGAAGAGAGGCCCAGCCTGTGGATGGGTCACTGCTTCCCGAGGGGAGAAACCTAGAGCTGCCTATGCCAAAGGGAGATCCTAACCCTCAACGCTCACTTTAACCCCCGGGTGCCCCGAATGGCCTTGACCCGCCCCCCCCCCCCAATTCCGACCAACGAGCGCACACAGGGGTCACTTCAACCCGTCTGAAATGCCTTGTTCCCCTGGTGTCCTCATTCACCCTCTCTACGGATTTGCCTTCGGGTTCCATTCCTATCCCTGATCCAGGAGAACCTGCCCCCGGCCCCATGTACCTGGGTGGTTCGCCGGTCGCTGTCTGCCGACTGCAGGCTCCGCTCCAGCGCCGTCACCTTGTCCATCAATGCCTTGCGCTCCCGGTCGTTGCGGCGGAGGGTCTCCTCCTGCAGCAGGAGGGCGGTCTGGGCACTGCTCAGCTTGCCGTCCGCGCTGCGCCTCCCTGGGGCAGAGAACATGGGCGCAGAGCCAGTGAGGGGGCATGCGGGCACTTTGCACCCGAAGCCAGCAGCAAATAGGAGGCACAGGGTGCCTGGGTTCTAATCCTGGCTTTGACACTGATGCACCGCGAGACCTTGAGGCGAGTTCTTTAAACCCTCTGAGACTCAGTTTCCCCATCTGTAAAAAGAGGCTAGTGCTTGCCTACCTCAGAGGGTGAGGGAGAGAAAAATCCGTTACCAATGAAGATGTGAAGCGCTCACTCTCAGAGCTATGTTTTACTATGCAGCTTGAATAAACACTTGTCCCTGAAGGGATCATCTTCAGCACCTGCGCGGGGGCTGCCTTTTGGAGTCTCAACGTCTAAACCAGGCGATAGCCAACTTCTTCACACAGCCCGCGCCACGTCTCACAGCACTGGGCTGGGATCCAGGAGAAGTGGGTTCAGTTCCCAGCCCAAAGTGGGAATTTTTTGCAATATTTTTATGAATCCTGCGTGTGCCTCAGTTTCTCCCTATACTTTGCACTGTTACCGAGTCGGGGGGAAGGATTATGTCTGCTCTCAGGGAAGACTAAGGGCATGTCTACACTTAAACCACTGCCACTGTATCGCTTCTGCTTCGGGCAGGTCTGCACTGCAGAATTACTTTGGTATGTTGCTCAGGGGGTGAAAAATCCAGTTATTCCGACCCATGCATTGGGGCAGACAGCGCTATGTTGGCGGGAGAGCTTCACCACCTCTCGCAGAGGTGGATTAACGATGCAACAGTGGCGCAACTGCACCGATGCAGCCTTTTAAGTGCAGACGTGCCCTTAGACACTATGGACGCTGATGGGAGGGGTTCTCCCATTGGTGCAGGTAATCCACCACCCTGAGAGGCAGTAGCTAGATCGACGGAAAAATTCTTCTGTCCACCTAGCACTGTCTACATTAAGGGTTAGGCTGACAACACACCGTCAACCAGTGGAACTCTTTGCCACAGGATGTAGTGAAGGGCAAGACTCTAACAGGGTTCAAAAAAGAACTAGATAAGTTCATGGAGGATAGGTCCATCAATGGCTATTAGCCAGGATGGGCAGAGATGGTGTCCCTAGCCTCTGTTTGCCAAAGGCTGGGAGTGGGCGACAGGGGATGGATCACTTGATAAGTGCCCTGTTCTGTTCATTTCCTCTGAAGCACCTGGCACTGGCCACTGTCGGAAGACAGGACACTGGGCTAGATGGACCGTTGGTCTGACCCAGTCTGGCTGCTCTTATGTTCTTAGGGGTGTGGATTTTTCACACCCTGAGAGATGTGGCTATGCCAGTGTAAGTTCCCACTTATAAACCAGCCCTAAGAGACAGACATAGCCGTACCTCCACGTCTGGATGGGATGAATAGAGTCATTAAGGAGCTGTCTGAAACTGACCCAGATCAACAATGGGTCCAGAGAGACAACGCAAGCGCCAATGACTCATGAAGTGACACTCAGTCGGCTGGACGCTCCGGCCAGCATGGGCCCGCCTGGAGACCGAGCCGTGACCGGGAGAGAAGAAAGAGCCGACACCTGGAAGCGGCTGGGAGCTCTCGGACCAGGGAAGTCAGAGAGAGACAGAGCCTGAACATGGAGTTCACTACAGCTTGGCTGGTGAACTGCGGCTTGACCAGAATGGACGATGCTTTAGTGCTAACCTAAGGACTTCCTCTGCTGTGTTCCAGCCGACTAGCCCACTGCAAAGACTGGCTGGGGTGCATTCGTCCCCAAAGAGCGCACGCGTCCCTCCCAGGAGTCTCGCTCGGTGGGACTCGCTGAGCAGAGCTCACGGCGTGAAGCAGGAGGGCTGGAGCCCCATAGCTCAGTCTAGGAGGCGGTGACGGGCACACTGGAGGGGGCCCTCCAAGAGACAAAAGCCGGGGTGTAGCCCAGAGCCTGTGGATTTGTGACAATGTGTCTTGCTCCTCTCATCCCTGGGGGGATAATACTACTGACCGCCTGCCCCCTGCTCTTTGCCTGGGCTATTTAGACTGGAAGCCCTTTGGGGAAGGGGCTGAGTCCCACTACCTCTGTACAGCTCCTAGCGCGATGGGGCCCTGATCTCAGTCGAGTCCTCTAGTCGCTACACGTAACAATAAGAAGGATCAAGCGGTTTCGAAGCCCCACGTAAAAAAGTTTTTGCCTCGCCTTGTGGTTCCCCCTCAACCAGGGAATTTATTTCGATGCTAAAATAAAGCTTGAGAACGACTCGATCTGTACAGCTGGCTTTAAAAATGGCCCCCTTCCCACTGAACCTCAGAGGAAAGGTTTGAGGGGCACCGACCCGGGGGAGGGGAAAGCATGACACCCACAGAAGGGGAGAGGGCAGGGAATAACCAAGCACCCCTGAAATGCTGCGCTGTAGGAACAGGGCTCTGGACCCTGGGCAGAGATCGCTGTCTTCTCAGCTTTCCTAGCTGATGCAACTTAGAGAAAGGAGGAAAATGGATTGTCCCTTTGGAGGGGAGCAGCCCAGCACGAGGGCAGCCGAATGCAGAACGCCAGATCCGAGACACAAAACCCCAAGGGTCTGGAAATCCGCAGTTAAGGATTAAACCTCCAGTCGCAAGCGTCGGCAGGGGGCAGCCATACCAAGCGATGCCCAGGCTCTGCTGGGCGCTAGTGGTTCAAACCAAGGGCTGGTATTTCCTAGTGTTCCTTTCATTCAAAGTGATCCCCAAAACGGTATACAGGGATCCTTTCACCCACCACTGAAATGCAGCCACCTCTGGGGGGTGGGGGGAGAGGTAACGAGCTGTTTAAAACAGCACAAAGCAGCGATGCACAACAATCTAGTGCACAGGGACACGGTGCAGCTGCATGGGAGAGACGGCACACACAGGCTTGACTGAGAGGGGACTCTATGAAAATCTCACAAGCCCTGGCCTGGAGACTCACTAACAACCGCCCCCTACCATGTTGCCCTTGTTCTCTGAGGCTGTCCTTGCATTTCCAACGAGAGAGATGAGCCAGGGCCTGCTGCATGGTGCAATGGACCGAGCCTGCGTGCCTGCCAGCTGCGTATAACCTCTGCATGGTAGCCCAGCCCACTGGGATCAGAGCATTAAAGCACCGAGTTAACAAACAAAAGGTACCACTGCAAAAAATTAAAAATCCTGGAGCACCACTGGTAACGGCACGTAAATTGCCATGAAGAGACAGGGCAAGTAGGGGCTTCGAAGAGCAGGGGCCCTCACTCTGCCACTGGCCTGGGGCAAGTCATTTCCCCACTCTGTGCCTCAGTTTCCCCCTCTTGAATATGGGGCTATTAAGACTAACCTAGGATAAGGGGTCGTGAGGCAAAATGCATCCATCTGCACACCGATGCTTTGAGAAGGCCCTAGAGATGGGGCCAGCATTGCCAGGAGCACTCACCCCTACGCACGCCCCCACACTCAGCCTCACCTTCCTCGCTTTCAGTCACTAGCTTCTGCAGCTGCTGCACTCGGGTGCTGGCGCTGTCCTGCTCTGACTCCAGCTCGGCCAGCTGGCGGGTCAGGCTGCCCAGCTGGGCCCGCAGCTCATCCTGGATTCGGAGGGGAGGGCGAGACAGGAGGGGGCGGTCAGCGGTCGGGAGACCCACCAGGCCGCTCGCCCTTCGGGCAGAGCAGCGGGGGGCAGAAGTTAACCCCTTCCTCCCCACACCGGTACCCGCTCGCGCTGCGTCTCCCGCAGCTCCTGCAGGAAGTCCCGGAGGGCGGCCCGCACCACTTCAGGGTCGATATCCGCCACCAGCTGCTCGCTGCGGCCCGGCGAGAGGGCGCGCTCCGGAGACAGAGGGCGCGAGCTGGGGCTGCCGGCCCGTGGGGTGGGGCTGCCGCGCCCGTCCGTGGTGCTGTACGCGTTGTCACCTAGGGGGAGACGGGCACAGGGGAGAGATGGTGGGCCCCGGCTGGGCTCGCGGCAGAGCGGGAGTTAGCTTGATGGGGAATCAACAGGCAGGGAACAATGGGGAATCCAGCGCTAAACCCGTTAGGGTTTTCCTAGCCCCTGGCTCTGATCCCACAAGGAGAAGGGGGACACCTACTGGCAGGAAGAGGAGCTGCAGCCTGGCCAGAGAAGACCCTCTCCAGTACTGCAGGGCAGCAAAGGGCCCCTTCACCCCACCCTGAAGGGCTCAAGGCAGCGAACAGGGAGGAGCTGAGGGAGAAGCCACCGGACAGGCATGACGAGCAGCGCAGCCGGGGTCCGGAGAGGCCAACAGTTCTACCCCACCCTCCTCCAGGCCCTTCCACCTGGGCATCCCCAAGCGCTTGGCAAGCATCAGTGATTTATCCTCCCAACCCCACTAGGGCACCAGGGGCCTACTGTCCCCATTGAAAAGATGGAGAAACAGGCAAGGGCAGTGACTTGACTAAGGCCCCATGGCAGGGCAGTGGGACGGCCGGGAATAGGACCCAGGAGTCCTGGCTCCAGTCCACCAGATGCCACTCCCACACAGCGGGGCACTGAAGACAACAAAGCCCTCAAGGCTTGGGGAAGAGAGAAAGGGGCCTCCCCGAGGGCTCTCCTGACCCGTTACCTTTGGTAGGGGAGAAGAATCTTTTGGGGGAGCTGCTACGCCCCCTGATGGCTGGGCTGGGGGCCCGGCCGCCCCGGCTGATGCCCATGGTGCGCCTCAGGGCGGAATGAAGGCTCCCCAGCTTGAACTCCACGTCCCGCTTCAAACCCTCCACTCGAGCCAGCTCGGCCTCCAGGCCGTGGGCGCGGCCCTCGGCGGCGCTCAGCCGGAGGCTCAGCTCCGCCGCCTCGGCCTGCGCGTGCTCCAACTTGATCTCCAGGTTGCGGGCGTTGTCCAGCAGCTTCTTCTCGTTGCCGCGGGCCTCCTCCAGGCTGCCCAGGAGGTCCTTCTCCCGCACCCGGAACTCGCCCTCCTGCTCCGACAGCTTCCGCTGCAGGTTGTGGAGCTGGGGAGGCAAGAGCGAGGGCTGAAAGGCATTCTGGGTAGGCAGAGCCAGCCCAGGGAGGGCACAGCCGCCTCCGCGCGCAAGCCACATCCTCCTGGCCATGTGGCTACTCCAGAAGGACATGGTCTCCACCCCTACGGGCCACTCTCCTCCACTTTACATGCTTCTTCCTTGGCCTTCTTTGCCTGTCCCACCTGGCATGATAATCTCTCGGTAGTTCGAGCTCAGCCAGAAGTTCTGGAGGCAGGAATTACTGGGGAGGTTCTCTGGCCTGGGTTACACCGGGCGCCAGACTACAGCGCCGTAATGGTCCTTTCTGGCCTGAACCTCCATGAGCCTCTGTCAAGTTGCCCTGGAGGGACGCATCTGCTCCACACGCCCGGGCCATGTGGGCAGTACACACCGTGACCGGTCCCTGGCGGCGGCATTGTGATGAGCAAGAGCTGGGCGGCTAACAGGAACGACCAGGCGAGAACTCCTGGGTGGAGGCGGGAGGAGCCCCACGCTCACCTCCTTCCTGGCGGACTCCCTGCTGGCTTCGCTCTCCACGATCTTCTGCTTGAGGCCGAAGGATTCCCGCCGATTCTCCTCCTCCCGCTGCTCGTCCAGTGCCACCCGGGCCTGCAGCTCTGCCACCTCCTTGTTCTTCTTGGTGTTCTCGCTGTCCAGCATCTTGATCTGGGGGCACCGGAAGGGGGGGCGGGGGAAGCACATGACTGCGCCCCGCGGACAGAGGAGGCGCAGCACAACAGAGAGGCACCGAGGCTGTTCCGGGCCAGCGAGGGGAACGGCAGCTCGCCCCAGCGCCGGAGAGGCAGGGTCCTACACACCCACAGCCCCTCCTGAACTACAGATGCTTGGCCCCGTTGCCCCGTCTCTGCTACTCCAACCGTGCAGGTTGCATGGCCCCTGAGAGGCCCACACCCGCCTGCCCCTCCAACAGCGACTCGTCAGCGGGGGCTCGGGGACAGCTGGGCAGAGTCTCTCCTTCCCCGACCTCGCTAGCCCCTCGCTCAAAGCCCTGCTTCGCCGCCCGCCCCCCCCCACCACACACACCTGTCGCCTCAGCTCCTGCAGCTCCCTGCGGGCCTCCAGCCGCGATCGCTCCACCTCCTGCAGGCTGCTCCGCAGGTCGGCAGCTTCCTTGCCCACGGCCGCCCGCGCCTCCTCCAGGATGGACAGCTTCTGCTCCTTCTCCTCGTTGGCCCGCTTCAGGCTGGGGATCAAGGCGGCGTCAGATCCCAGTGGGACGCAGTGACATAACCCACTCCCCCCTCTCCCCCCCGCAATGGTGGCCGCCGGCCGCCCCCACCCCTCACCTGATGCGGTCGCTCTCCGTTCGCTTGATGGCAGCCCGCAGCTCCTGGTTGGATCTCTGCAGGGCCTCCTTTTCCTTGGCCTCGTCGCTCAGGCTGCGCCGCAGGTCCAGGATGTCCTTCCTCTGGATCTCGTGACCCTCCTGGCTCTCCCGCACCTTCCGGTGGGCCTCGATCACGTCCCGCCGGATGCTGTCCCGGGCATCCTCCACCATGCGCAGCTGGGTCTTCAGCTCCTCCACCTGCGAGGCAGAGGACGGGAGCGGCCGCCTCAGATCCCTGTGGCCCCAGCGCACTTGGGGACTGGGGACTCTGCAGGAGGCGGCCCTGGCACCATCTCCAAGCACCCTCCTCTGTAGAGGGGACGTGCAGCCCCACCTGCTATCTGCAGCGCAACACTGTCAAGCCCCACTGAATAAAATCCATTGAGGGTCAGATCCAAGAGGCCCAACTGCACTGCATGCTGGGATTCGTAGTCTCTGGGCTGCACCTCCACGCGCAGGGGACTCTGCCCCATTTTATGCAAGCTCCGGGCTCCACTTCTGCCCCCGGTGACGCTCTCCTGCCCCCGCTTCCATCCCCGACTGGAAGGGGGAGGGTGGCGGTGGGGCCCAGCCCTCTATCCCCTGCCCCATGAACGCGCTCACCTCACGGAGGGTGCATTCCCGCTGCCGGGCCAGCTCCTTGACCTGCTCCTGCAGCCCCCGGGCCTCCCGCTCGTGGGCCGCGACGGTTTCTTCCAACTGCACCCGCAAGCTCTTCAGCTCCGAGGTCAGGGCGTTGACGGTGCTCTGCGGGCAAAGAACGGCCCAGCCCTTACTGGCCTGCACCGGCTCCCGCCTCGCTGGGGTCACCTTTACCAGGGTCACCCGGCTGCCAAGGATCCACTAATCAGTCAGGTTGACCCAGTGACACAGGAAGGGTAGGGAGCCAGATGCCCGTCTCCCCTCCTGGAGCACCGAAGAGAAACTGATCCCTGTTCACGGCGAATGCCCCCTCCCTGTACCTGGTGGCTGCGTAGTGCATGGGGGGTGGGGTGGCTGCAGGCCGGGAGTTAGGGTGAACTGGCATGGCTGCATGGGAGGTGGCTGCAGGCCGGGAGTTAGGGTGAACTGGCATGGCTGCATGGGGGGTGGCTGCAGGCCGGGAGTTAGGGCGCACTGGCATTGCTGCA